GAAGTAGGATGGCACAGTAGTAAGCTAAAAGAAGTGGCAAGACACTTAGCCCCTCTGTGCCTCGGTTGCTCTCCTGCTGAGAGTAAAAGACAACCTCAGGGTGTCGTTATAAAGTTAATAAGTATTAAGTACTGAGAATAGTACCTGGCATCTTGTTGTTAGAGGCTGTCCAAGACATTTCTGACTCATAGAGACCAATGAATAACAAAACAAAACAAAACACTGTCCAGTCCGGCACCATCATCACAACGGCTGTTCTGCCTGACTCCATGTTACAGCTACGGCGTCAAGGCCTCTCACTGAGGGGCTTTCTCTTTAACCTTCTACTTTACCAAGCATGGTGTCCTGTCCCAAGGACAGGCCCCTCCCGATAACACAGCCAAAGTACCGAAGACAGAGTCTCCCCAGCCTTACTTCTAGGGGCGTTCAGGCTACGCTTCTTCCCAGAAGTGCAGTCCTTTCAATAATCGTCACCCACTCCATAGTTCAAATGCATCCGTTCTCCTGTGGTCTTCCTTACTCGCTGACCTTGTCCTGCGTGCCAGGCACTGTTCTAGGCTCTGGGAATACAACAAGGAGTGCAGCAGACTCCCTGCTCTGAACTGCGATTACGGACAGGGGAGAGACATAGTTGTATTTACGCTGGTAAAACACCAGGTGGGTGGATTCAGAGAGCCGGGGAGGAAGTAGAAGTACCCAGGAGTGGAGATGCAGCTCAGTGCTGCACTCTTCCTTCCAAGAAAGAACAGAGACTTGATGTTGAGGTCAAGGGACTGCAGGGGAGATGACAGGTTTGGCGAGCATTTGGAAGGACATTGTAGATGATTGCATCTGCGTGTTGAAGGGGGAGGGATGCTGAAAAAGAGAACTGGGTTTCGATCTTACCTTAGATGAGTTTCAAAAATTCAGCCTCTGCTTCTCGCCCAGTTTCCTAGATCGCAATTTCCATTTCACGTGCCACCTGCGCATGCGTGTGTGTCTCTGTGTGTGTGTCTCATTGCAGAAGAGAGAAGGAGCCGAAGTCAGGTGCCCTGACCAGGACCCCTCCGACTCGATTCCCACCTCAGGTACAGCCGCTCAGGTGGAATCATTTTTAAACTCTGTTGAAGCCTGACGTCATCAAAGTAAGAGCTATTTTACTATGCAGGGACTTTTCTCACCACCTGAAATGCTCCTGAGAGGTTTTATAAGGACAATGACGTTGTATGTATACTTGTAAATTCATGCCTGTGTCTGTGTTGTTCTGTAACTGAAATATGATA